AGAACAATTCTAAGACTATCTGTTGCAGCAATTTGACTCTTATGCATTCCTGAACTAAATACGAATTAAGAATATGCATTTGATGACTTTCAAGGTTGAATATTTGCAGTTAAATATTAGATTCATAGTTTATACCCTACAGTTATTTTTATCAGTATTGACACTGTGCTGTTAATTTAGATAATGACTAAAGCCTCTTTTAAATACAATGTTATAATAATGATTTACTCTTCATCTCTTCTTCCTGTGTTAATATTTATATGGTGATTTTTATAATCTAAGTAAATACAGAAAAGGAAAAAGAAATGATAGAAAGGGAATGAACAACTTGAGATGATTTCCAATCTCTTTCATGCTTTATCATAGAACATGAAGTGATGATGAGATCTGGACCACGAAAGCCTCCAAAGGGATGACCACTCATAATAATAGGCAATGAAGTTTAACTGATCATTAGCCCTAGTTACCAAGAGAAAGAGACACCATCTGTCTACTGATGTAGTTTCCTTTTCCACTGTAGACCTCTTCCCAACATCCCATTTCAACCACCCTCTGTAGTATGCAGATGTACATGGAAGAAATGTAGGTGATAGTCTGCATTTCCACTATATTCTAAAATCCAGAAATATATATTGTTTTAGCAAACCCCTTTTGCATTGTCTTGTTTTAGGTACTCCTGCTGCTCAGTCTGATTGCCAGAAAGATGGAGAGAAGCAACATAACTGTGTTGATGGACTTCTACTTGACTGAACTGTCTGATCTCCCTGAAGTACAGACTGTCCTCTTTGTGGTGATTCTGCTGATCTACTTGACCACCCTGGCAGGGAATGGAGCTATTCTCATGGCAATAGGAACAGATGCTCACCTCCAAACTCCAATGTACTTCTTTCTGAGCAATTTATCACTGATGGACATCCTTTGTCCAACGGTCATTGTACCAAAGATGCTGCAGATATTCTTATCAAAGGACAAGAAAATATCGTTTGTGGGCTGCGTGATGCAACTATTTTTCTTGCTTGATGTGTTGGGTACTGAAATCTTCTTGCTTGCAGTGATGGCTTATGACCGCTATGTGGCAATATGTAGCCCTTTACATTATGCTAATATAATGAATAAACTGCGGTGTATTCAACTGACGGCTATGATTTGGCTATTGGGCTTAATTAATTCTGTGATTCATACCATACTGATCTTTAGATTGTCTTTCTGTGGATCTAAGAAACTCAACCAATATTTCTGTGATCTTCAACCTGTGATGGCTCTCTCTTGCTCTTCTACTTATCTTATTGAAGTTGTTCATTTATTAGTTGCTGGTATTATAGGTGGTGGAGCTTTTCTGGTCACCCTGATCTCTTACATCTACATAATTTCTACCATCTTGCGCATGCCTTCCACTGAGGGGAGGCACAAAGCCTTCTCTACCTGTGGTTCTCATTTGACTGTTGTATGTCTTTTCTATGGGGCCACCATTGCCACCTATGCTCGTCCCACCTCTTCTTATTCAGGCAAACAGGGCAGAATAATTTCTATGCTGTATGGGATAATCACTCCCATGCTGAACCCTATGATCTACAGTCTGAGAAATAAGGAAGTTAAGAAAGCTTTGAGAAAAGCCTTTAATCTGAAAAGATTTTCATAAACATCTCCTAAACAACAAAGCCTGCAGCTGGATAGTGGGAAGGGCAAGGAGCTTAGATGGGACACTCCTTAATTTCTTGGACTTTTAAAGAAATCGGGTGAGAGGGGGAGAAATGTACTTTCAGAGTTGCAAGATTTTGTTAATGTACTTAGAATTAAATCATCTAGTTGACAATATTTCTATTTTGGTATCTATAAGGAGAGAAC